TGTCCCTGAAGGTGGGGCGGTGCGGGAGGAGAGCTCAGCCTCCTGTGACAGCAATGGCTGACTCGCTACACACCACCGCTCTCCTGATCTGTGACAGGAGGCTGAGCGGTGTGAGAGGAGAGACGCAGGCTGCTCACAGTGCTCTCGTCCCGCAGAGCTCGGCCTCCTTTGGCAGTTTCTCTCCTCCCTGCTGGGACACAGAGCAGCGCCCAGTGGGGAGGACAGAAAGAACGGTTGCACCGCTATTTCAGCCCAAAATATGGCACTTTCGGCATTTTGCCAAAAGTGCAATTTTCCTCCGATATGTTTTTGTGGCCGATATATCGTTCCATCCCTAATTATTATCATTATCCCAAAACTGCTGGGAAATTCATCATTTTACAACTATCACAAGAAGAGGACTAGATGGGAAATCTTCCAGTGAGGACACCTGTTCGGGTGACCACGAGGAAGGGATTTTCCTCACTTTGGAGATATTTCCTCTTATTTCAAGTTGTGTCTTCAGCAGAGGAAGTAAAGCGAGAACTCCCTAAAGCTGGCCATACACATTTAGATTATCTGCAGATTTTCTATGGTCAGATAGGAAAAGTGCGACATATTCCTCTATCTACGCTAAACTGTGTGGATAGGGGAATCTCCCGCTGGGTCAAGCTTCAGTATCTTGCTAGTCGGCCCCGCTGGCTGTCAAAATACCTGAACAATGCCTGCATCCATTCAGATTGTTCAGGTATTTTGACAGCCAGCAGGGCCGACTCGCAAGATATTGAAGCTTGGGCCAGCGGGAGATTTCTCCATCCACACAATTTAGTGTAGAAAGAGGAATCTTGCACTTTTTTCCAATTGCTAAGCCTGAGCACATGGCAGAGTGGATGACTCATGGCTCCCTCTACATTCTGACACCAGGTATGTAATAATATGCGGCAGGGGAGCATTGTGAAGGTCAGTATAAAATGGTCTTTAAACAGTTTGCCCTGAATCGACAAGGTGACAAGAGTCTCTCTTTAAGTCTTACCGGGCCAATAAAGAACAATCATTGAGCTCAAATACTTCCCTTTTTGCAGGAAACAGTCCCCTTGGTGCCATTTCTGTCTCCAAAATTCTAGACATGTGATCACTACTTAAAGAGTGTGCAGCACAGTCGTGTAGTGGTTGGCACTTCTGCCTTGCAGCACTTTGGATCCCGGGTTCAAATCCCAGCCAGGTCACTATCTGCAAGGAGTTTGGAATGTGTGAGGAAACCAGAGTACCCGGTTGAATTCAGGGAGAACATGCAGAGACATGTTGGAAGGTTACTTGGCCCTTGTATGTATGTGAGATAGGAACCTTTATATTTTTAGCTCCTTGAGGGCAGGGACTGATGTGAATGTAAAGCAATGCATAAAATTGTCAGCACAATATAAATACCTATAATTAGGGCTGTCCCTATACCACTTTTTCAAGGCCAAGTACAAGTAAGAAATGTTGTGACATCCAGACAGATGTCAGTTAGTAGATTAGTGGCACGCAAGGACACTGAGGGGGAGAGTTGTGGAGTGGAAAGATAAATTTGAGTGTCATCTGCATAGAGATGGTATTGGAAGCCATGTGAGGTTATTAGTTGACCAAGGGAGGAGGTGTAGATGGAGAAGAGGAGGGGTCCAAGGACTGAGCCTTGGGGGACCCCTACAGGAAGAGGAGGGGAGGAGTTTGAATTGTAGGTGACACTGAAGGCAGATAAGTAGTATGAGAACCATCATGTACTTGCCGATACCAATTAACAATACTTTTTCTTAAAGGGACATGTGAATTTTTTTCTAAAACAATATAGACTAATGAGTTTAGGGCAGTTTCTCACCAGGGCTGTGTGCATTGGAGGTGACAGGTTCTCTTTAAGGTGACATTAGGGGTCTTTTAGACCTCTAGTGTCACCTTTCCACTTCACTGGATTCACTGAATGTAAATACAGCAGGCAGTGGCTGGGAGTAATAGCCAGCCTGCTATTGGATATTTTAAATTGCAATAGCCAATAGCAGGCTGGCTATTGTACCAGGCCCATCGCCTGCTGTCCATCAGCAAAGGAGGGAACTGAAGACAAAGTTCTCCATCAGGTCCTCTCTGCTGATTGACAGCAGGCAATGGGCGGGTATAATAGCCAGCCTGCTATTAGCTATTGCAATTTAAAATATCCAATAGCAGGCTGGCTATTGTTACAAGTGTCCATTTCTTTTCCACTTGATGAAACTGTTTGCTTTTGTTGATATATCTCAGTGTCAGCTGTCCATGCTCCTTATTTGTTTAATAATGCCCGCACCAGAAGTACACAGAGGTTTTCCCTCTCAATGAAAGAAGGCAAGGTTGGTTCTGTGTGTAGGCCAGATTTACAGCTTCTCTCCTCTCCAAGAGCACACTGAACGGATATTCTCTTCTATCATTGAGAGTGAAAACTTCTGTGTATGTCGGGTGAATAAATTACACATAAGGAGCACGGACATCTCACACATTGATATATTGCCAAAAGGAAACAGTTTCATCAGGTTGAAAAGGAGGGGACAGAGCTGAGAGGAAGCCTGCGTTTGGTGGAGAGGTATTCTGGAGGAGGGGCTATGCGTGTCAATGGCCGAAGATAATTGAAAAAATTTTAAAGGGCCGGTATCGGCTCTATGCATCGGGGCATTTTCAGGAGTACAAGTACTTCTGAAAATGCCCTGCATCGGCCTTGATACCGATACTAGTATCAGTAACGGGACATCCCTACCTGTAATGATAAATAATGAGATGTTTAGAGTTTTTCTACAGTAGAGATCACAAGATCATATGCCTGGACTTTGGGACACAGCACCAGAAAAGGAGTCTGTGGCATGTTCTTCAAGAAAGATAAAGTAACATTTCAGCATAGATGCTTTACAGTATGTGTCAGGTAAATCTCTCAGGTGTGCTGTCATGGATTGTAGTGGAATGCTGGTATCACCCTTCCAATAGTTTTCTACATACACGATCGCAGCCGTGATTGTTCTGAGAATTCCATGGAGTATGACTTTTGTTGGGTTTTATGTTTAGGTTTCTGGAAATCACTCACCTGAAAAAACATTTGGGCAATTTAAAGTGTATTGAAAATGTTTTGTTTATTGGTTCTTGATGAAATGGGGAAGGGTTCGCTGTAAATCGCATTTTGGGGGTGATTGAGTGGCACTTTGCAAATGTTGAGGAGGTTATACTACTGTTTGTTGGCTTTTTTGGCAAGCGCTGCCATCTGCCAAACATGACATGTTAAGGTAAAATTGTTCACCGTGAATCAAAGCATTGTGGCTTTGGTAATGTCTACAAACCCCCTCTGGCCGCCATGTAAATATGTAGGTAGACGGGTGCATCAAAAACGAGGATCAACCGCCTGTTTTTACTGCCACTTTGCCACCCTTGTGAATGTAGCTATATTTCTGTATGTGTCTCCACTGGGTAGGTAGAAGAATGGACACCGGCACTCCAAGGCAGATACAAGTACGTATATTTATTCACGTGCATGTTGCCTAGCAAAATACACTCAGTGCAACGTTTCGGGGGCTCACAGGATCCCCTTCGCAAATAAGTGAGTGAGGTTCCCCGTCTCTGCTTATCCCAATAACCATTGTCACCTTGACTGAAAGTCAGCTGAATGGCAACCCAATGCGCCTTTACAATGCATCTGTTTTGCGTTGCGCGGTAATTAACGTATTTTATGCCAACAGAGATGCAACACGTCTAAGTTTTGGTCTGTTGTGGTGCATTAGGCCACCCAACCAAATGAATGGGCTGCAATACACAGTGTCGCCCACCTTTGTTAAACACTGCAACAAGCCGTTGTGGTGTGAATGCTGATGATTCCTATCTCAGGTTTGCTCGCATAGAGATTATGGAACAATGTTTAAGGGTAACAGCACTTCAGTTTTCTTGTGTCATTTGTTAACAAATCTTTTGCTGTTTTTATTTAGAAGTTGAGGTTTCCAGGTTTACTTCGAAGCGCATTAACTGTTCCTTTTTGTTTTCTCAAATAGTCTCCTTTGAAGTGACAGCATTATATCCATAGAGGGGGACAGTTTTTGAACACCTAAATTGTTAACCAGAGGTAAGTAGTCCTATATGACTTGTGGATTTCCAGGGTGATGATCTTCCTGTTAGCATATGTACATTGTGCTAGCAGTATGTCTTGCGAGACCTTGCTATGTTTTTAAGTGCACTTACAAAACTGAAAGCAATGAGCTATGACTAATGCCATGAGTGGCTAAAACGTATTAGCAGGTTTGGTGAAGTGAGCCGTTCTTTTTGACATTTAATAAAGGATCGGAGCATTAAACTGAGTGGCAGAAACCTCCATAGCCCAATATCACCGCTCCTTAACAGCTGTACTACAGAGAATGGTGAGTGCACCCCAACCAAGCCCATCTTGATCCAGCATAAGCACTCACAAAAAAGTCAGATTGCACAGCTTCAGTGAAAAATGTTATTGTCTAGAGCCACTTTTCTCAACCAGGGTGCCATGGCACCTCAGTGTGTCTTCTGGCTTCCTCAGGGGTGCCTCAGAATTTTGTGGTAGTGGGACTGTGATGTGAAGGGGGGAGGATGAAGACTGAGGTAAAGGGGGAACTCTGATGTGAAAGGGGGGCTACTGATCCAAAGGGTGACTCTGATGTGAACGGAGGGGGATCTTGATTTGAAAGAGGGCACTTCAATGTGAAGGGGGACATTTTTGTGGTGTGTTTTTGCTTGGATCCATCTTAAAATCTGACATTTTACACTGGGGTGCATGCTTGTAAAGGGTGCCATAGCTAAAAAAAAAAAGTGAGAAACACTGGTCTCTAGTGAGGAGGATCCACGGCGGGATGATGTGTACCTGTGTGCTAAAATAACAATTTTCAGCGACACTTGCGGTGTGCAACTAGACTTTTTTTTTTTTGAATATTCACTAACAAAACTGTTCTCAAAATAGCCAAATTGCTAAATTCATTCATGTAAACTTGCTGCCGCTTTTTCATCTTTGTCAGTAAAAACATGTTTTTCTTTCTACAGGTAACTAAGAATGAGTGTTACTCTTCGGTTACAGGGTCTTTCCAATAGGGCAAATTCTTATGATATTCGAAAATTCTTTGTTGGGCTGGACATTCCCCAGGGAGGGGTTCATATCATTGGTGGATCAGATGGTGAAGCTTTTGTTGATGTTGCAACATGGGACAATGCTTATGAAGCACTTCAGATGTCAGGCCTGAAAATAAGGGATTCCGTAATACAAATTTCAGTTGTCTCCTCTGAAGAAAAGCAGCAAGCTTTGGAAAACTGTGATAAGGTCAAAGATTCTGCTCATGGTAGAAATGGTACTCATGAGAAAAAAAGTAACAAGGGCAGAGATGCTCGTTCCCGCAGAAATATTTCCCATTTACGAGTGGACATTAATGACTTTGAACCGACTCCTTCAGATATCAGACATTTCTTTAAGGGTATTTATATTAGAGACATCGTGTTCTCTAAAGATGAAGATTCACCTGGGAATGTGATTGTAATAATCATGTTTGGCAACAGAGCAGATGCAACAGAAGGCTATAACAGATACAAGGATAGCAAGATCCTACGCATAATGTGGTCAAGTGAAAGCGAGTGGATAAAATATGGTGGTAGACTTGATGACGATGAAGATGACTGCAATTCAAGCACCTCAAAAAATAGCAGGAGAAGAACACATTCTAGGTCTCCTCAAAGGAGGTCTAGGTCTCCAAGAAAGCATTCTAGGTCACCACGAAGACATTCTAGGTCTGCACGAAGGCGATCTAGGTCCCCTCGAAGACGTTCTCGGTCTCCTCGAAGATATACTAGGTCTCCATTAAGTTCTTCTAGAACCCCAAGTCAATCTGAAGAACAGGATTCCACAAACACTGAGGAATACCATGTGCGATTGATGAACTTGAGCTACCGTGCTAAAAGGGATGACATCAAAAAGCTCTTTCATAACCAAGTGCGTGATGATCACATTGTATTTGTGTATGATGAAAAAGGTCATAGAACAAGAGAAGGGTTTGCCACGTTCACGAGGGAGGAGCACTACAGGAAGGCTCTAACGTTAAACAGAGTAATGTTGAAAGGATATAAGTTGTATATCTCCCTTATCTCGAAATCAGATATGCAAAGATCACTTTCAAGCAAAGGGCAAAGCAGTGGTAACTTTCAAGCATACCTTTATCTAAGAAACTTTTCTCCTGATGTCACTAAAAGTGATGTTAAAGAATTCTTTGTGGACTTTCCTTTGAGCGACGACGATATTTTTCTGTTGCTTGACAAAAATAATACTTGTCTTGGGGATGTGTTGGTAAAGCTCTCTTCGTTAGAAGAAACATTCGGGGCTGAAAAACTAGACGGTACCACATTCAAGGACAGCCGAATATCACTAAAGGTGATTTATGAGAATAAGTTGACGTCTTTTCTCCAGTCGAATGGTTTGCACAAGATGCCGCCAGATCTGAATGAATGCGTAACTCAAGAAGATGATCCATCTGAAGATGAGGTTACCCAAGAAAATGACACTCCTGATGATGAGCCAATTATACAAGATCTGGATACACCAGAAGATGACTCTGCTGTCCAGAAGGATAGCCCGCCAGAGTGCGTTTCTCAAGCAGATGATTAACCTTTATCAAAATGTGTTAGAGGTTCCTGAAAAGCAAGCTAACATAACTTGCCGGCTCTGCTCCCCACATCATTGACCTCATCTGCATTGAAGAGATATGCTTGCTCAAAGACCCTCAACATCTGACACACTTCTTGGTGTGCTTTGCGTCTGCTACCCTGCTGTGCATTGTGGTTCCTTCCCTCATCACTACTATATCCTATAGTAGGGATGAGGATAGAAGGGTGGAACACACAGAGTGCAATGGGGAATGTCAACCTCTGACAGTCCCAGAATTGTTACATGCAGAAGACTTTCAAGCAAGCATACATCAGTGCAGCAGTGTTCAGAGGTGTGGGTAGGGGGACAGGTAAGTACTGTATGGCTTGTTTTCTTTGCAGTGAGCTCTTGTGAGTCACTTGAACCAGTCTGAATAGTTAAATGACATGGGAGAGACTGGTTTGGACTGCAGTGGAAATCCTTGCAAGGGTTCCCCAGACAGCATATTGTTTTATATGTCACCAAGATGTTACTTTTGTTGAAATTTATACAAGTTTCTTTAACATACTTTTGAGCGGATAAATATTGAAAGGACGAACATTTTATGCACTGGTCCTTAATATGACAGAAACTCCCCCCCCCCCTTGTACTGCTAAAGCCATTGCAGCTAAATCAACATCACGGCTTGTACCTGGAAACATACTTTGGTGGCCATAGCTACATGATTCACGCTGTAAAAGTTCTGCTATCTCTTAGATTTCAGTTGCTGTATTTTTCTGTTAGCTTTGCAGCACTTTTTTTTTTAAACTTTTTTAAATTGCAGTCGTTCCTTTTGCTTCAAAGTAAGTGGTCTTATTGACAGCTTTGATGGACCTGTGCGAATTCCCAGGGAAGGGGCGCAGTTTACCTACTACTGCTGAAACAGTATAATGCAGGAATATATTCTTGTATTTCTTTCATACTAAAGCACATAACTCTCACAGGTGAGGTATGAGGCAGCTGCTCCCCTGGAGAATGTGTATAAAATTAGGGTTATTTGGTAGCAAATCATCAATTATAAAGTCCTGCTGTGGTTTTTGATATTAAAGGGTCAGCCCATCCAAAATTTTCATTCGCTAGACATCCACCGTTTTATTCAACAACCTAGAGCCGTTATTAGAGTGCATGAATTATAAGCTCAGATATATATGATGGCAGTGGGTAACCCAGCTTCCTGACATCTACATTAGAGATAAATTGGTCTTTTAATAATAGCAATTAGGGATGCACCGATACCGGTATTTTTTCTTTGGTACTCACGGATACCAAGTTCCCGGAAGTCCCATTCAGGAAGCAAGGCGGCGTGTAATGACTCGCTTCCTGATTAGCAGGGAAGCCGTCCCCATGCTTCTCGTCACTAGGTGACAAGCAAGCATGGAACTGGCTTTCTGGCCAATCAGGAAGCCGGGCACCATGTAATGACACGGCGCCCAGCTTCCTGATTGGCCGGGAAGCTGGCTCCATGCTCCCTCGTGATGAGGGAGCATGAAGCTGGCTTACTGATTGGTCTAGAAGCTGGCCAATCGGAGCCGGGCAGCGAGTCATTGCATGCAAGCCGGCTCCATGCTCTTTTGTCACAAGTGACGAGAGAGCATGGAGCGGGCTTTCCCGCCAATCGGGAAGCTGGGCGGCATGTAACGATGCGCTGCCTGGCTTCCTGATATGGGCATGGCCATCAATCAGATCTAATCCTGCACTTTTAAAATTACAGTTGTTAACTCTTAAAGTATTTAAACCCAAGAATAAAAATGTAATACATTGCAGCATTCCAATCCTTGGCTGTGGTGGCTGCATCCTATTAGTAACAAACTTCCTGTCCTAGGGTGATGATGTACTGATCTATGAAGGAGCAGCATTGCCATCCTAGGACAGGAAGTGATGGAACTATACTTTCTTGCCTCCATAACATGGGGGATTTGTTCTGGAGCTCATAAAGGAGTATTAAGCAAGGCACATGATGGTGCTTAAGATAGGTGTGTACACAGGTTCTGGTTTTCTGGCAGAATCAACTGGTATTTTTGCTTTAATTGAACACATATAACACTTTCAATTGTATATTTAACAGAACAAAAAAGAGCAAGTAAGAGGGGTTTATTGTTACATAAATGTGGGATGTACTACAAAAGCAGCTGCATGAGAAGTCTTTTATTTGAAGATAACCTTTCCTTTGGCCTTGCAGGTTGATGTAAACAGTTCATGGATCCTCCTCCTCAGCACCATATCTTTCCTTTTTCTCACTGCTCCCTTCGGCTTCCCATAGTAACGTAAAATACCTGACATTTCCAGGTATGAGCGAGCGTGTACCTTACTCCTCTTTGTCACATGACAGCTCTTGTTACTCTTGATTGGGCTAGCACTACCAGATAAGCCAGGAAGGAGTCCATCAGCCTGCGTGATTTTTGACAGGTTGGTTTGGAGCTTATTGGGCTTTCTTTCCCTAGTATCAGAAGAGGAGTAAAGAAAGGGGAGTGTATGATGCTGGGGTGTGGGGGACCTAAAAGAGCCTCTCACTTGCTTTGAATGGGCAAAAAAATTGTTCACTATAAGAAGCCATTCTGTATATCATATGCACAATATTTTCAGAGTGGGAAATGACTTGACGGTTTTTAACCTTTTCACCAATGATGTGGCATATGAACAAGGGAATGGTTGCCTCTCAGTCTTTTACAAGTGTATTTTGCTTCCTTACATTGACCCTGTAATGTCCAAGTAACACGGCTTGAGTGAAAATACAAGGTCTGTCTGTCTATCCTATCCCTACCCCCAAATAAAATACACAGATTTACACCTAAAAAATATACAGGAAATTATATACTTACTGTAATTTTTCTTTCCTGCTACCTCATGTCGGCATATGATAGTTCAGCTTTGCCTTCTGACCCCACAGGACCACCCTTACACTAGCCAATAAAAGCAAATAACTCCAACCCCTCAGTTATCTATCCAGCCTTGCGACAGAACTACAGAGAAAAATGATGGTAAGTACAGTACTGTGCAAACATTTTTATGCAGGTGTGAATAAATGCTGCCAAATGTTTTCATAAATAAATTAATAGTTTATTTTTTATTTAATGAACTGGAGTAAATGAACAGAAGAGAAATCCAAATCAAATCCATATTTGGAGTGACCACCCTTTGCCTTCAAAAACAGCATCAATTCTTCTAGGTACATTTGCACACAGTTTATGAAGGAACTCGGCAGGTTGATGTCGTTTCATGTAATCCCAGACAGATTCGATGATGTTGAGATCAGGGCTCTGTGTGGGCCAAACCATCACTTCCAGGACTTGTTCATCTTTACGCTGAAGATAATTCTTAATGACATTGGCTGTATGTTTAGGGTTGTCCTGCTGCAGAATACATTTGAGGCCAATCACACTCCTCCCTGATGGTATGGCATGATAGATAAGTATCTGCTTGTATTTCTCTGCATTGATCCTGACCAAATCTCCAACTCCACCGGCAGAAATGCAGCCCCAGACTTGCAAGGAACCTCCTCCATGCTTCACTGTTGCCTGCAGACATGCATTATTGTACCCGCTTTTTTCATTTAGCCTGCAGGTTGAACGAAAAAAATAGATCAGTGCATTGCCAGCTGTAGTAGCAGAGTTTGGCTGTTCCGCACCCAGTTTTAAGCCTCCTACACAGCTGTTTCAGTTAATGACTGCGTTTCAACCTACATATGAAACTGATGATAATTAGCACCTGCTTGGTCTAATTGGTTAATCATACACCCGACTCTAATCCTACAAAATCCCTGACTTTGGGCAAGTGTAAGAATTGATGGTTTGAAGCCAATGGGTATTCACATGAAGTATTGATTTTATTAAAATTTCTCATCTTTTCACTCACTTTGCATTCTGTAAATTGATAAAAAATAAACACTAAATATTTTTGAAAGCATTCTTGCTTTACAGCATTTTTTTTTCTCGCCTGCCTAAAACTTTGCTTACTACTGTATATGATAATTTCTGTATTTCTTGTCCTTCTCATGTCTGCATACAATGGAATGTAAGTAGCAATAGCAAATGAAAGATGAACTAAAGAGAATGGCAAGAAAAAAAGTGGAGAAAAAAAAATGCCTACCCCACTACCGGGAGAGTCCAATGGAGTTGGTAATTACAATTCTCTGCAGTAGAAATCCATGTACAGGGCTCGGGAAGGAGAGCATGCACTATGGTCTATCCTGTCACTGGGATCAAAAGACAATCTGGGGAGCTAGCTAACTAGCACCCCAGATTGTCTTCATGATCCTAGTGACGGGATAGACCACAGTGTGTGGTTCATTAGCTAGCTCCCTAGATCGTCTCCTGATCCTGAACCTGCCTTCTCTTACAATGCCTCCCCAAGCCTTGGAGACTGCCATTGGAAGTAACTATCATCCAGGTTCCAGGGCTGAGGGGCCTGCCTGGGAGTCAGGATGATTGGCGACAGTCACCACCATAGATTTCTGTGGACTGTTGGAATGAATCTGATTCAAGTGGATTTTTTGCCATTGCTGGAGAAGACACACCTGGAAATGTCCACTGAGCTACTCTAATGGTAGATGTTAGGAGAGCCAGGAAGACCATACAATCTTCCACACTGCTCATCAGGACCCGAGTCTTTCTCTGCACAGCAGATGGCGTCTGAGATTTTCTGCTGAGACCAGAAAACTCTGACACTGAATCAAACAGGACTCTTAAATATTCCATCCTTTAAAGGGGATTAGTTGACTTTTTTTTTGGTAATTCACCTACCAACTGAAGCGAGCGGGAGTGTGAAGAACTATGAATGTGTTGGCTAGAACTTCATGTTCTGAATCCCCAGCAGTAAGTTGTCTAGATAGTGGTATAATCCTATATTCTACAGATGTAGAAAACCAGCCGGAGCAAACAGAATTTTGTAAAATGTCCTCAGGGTTGTAAGGCCGAATGGGAGACTGAACCTGAAAATATTTCCTATTCATGCAAACCAAATAATCTGCTGATGAGCTAGTGTAATCGGAGCATGGAGATAA